TGTGTATAAGAGACAGGTCTGTCTGTCTGTCCCCGCGAACCACTGGTCCGGCATCGCAAGGCGCCGGCCTTGGAGGCGGTGCCCCAATATTAGATAAACTCGCTTGGTTGCGGAAAGACAGCCCGCTGCCAGGCGTGCAGGACCCGTCTCAGGTCAGACCTTCAGATTCATAAAGCCCTTCTTTCCCACCCCCCCCCGCCCTCAGCACACCGGTGCCAAGGTGAAGGAGTCTCCTGGTTTCACACACTCAAGCATCTCTGGAGTGTTGTTCGTTTGTGTGTTTGCACAGGGGAACGCAAAATCTGCTGCAGGTAAAACTGGTTTCTCTGGTGTGGTCGTACTGAGGTCAGACCACAGCTCACGGATCCCCCAGGCTGTGCAGCAGTTGTCCCTGTTGTCCCTGTTCATTCCTCTTCATTCTGATGGTGAGTCACCCTTTCCCCTGTGCTGACACTCCTGTTTGTGCAGCTGCTCAAGAAAACAGAATGGAAATGACCTGATTAGAAGTCCATCCATCCCTCCATCCATGGAGTAACAGTGCTGTTAAAAAGCAGCAGTCGGTGGAGCAAAACCTCATGAGGAAATTTTCAAGCTGCCTTTGTCCCGGGTGCCTGCTGAGCAGCAGCTGCAGTGCTGCCGGGATGGATGCTCGGGAGGCTTTGTCGGGGCTGTACTGCAAATCTTGTCTCCTCTTCCTGAAACAGTTCAGGATTCCTGGGTAGTTTTGACCCTATGTGAATGGATCTTCTAGGTCTTCCTAGGATGGTTTGAAGTTGCATAATATTGTAACACACTGGGTGTTATTTCTTGGATTCTACAGGACAGTTTTATTCTGTCCTCTCCTATTTTGTTCAAAATGATTAAAGTGTTTCAGGTTATTTGTGAGCAGTTTATTACAGTGAATTTTAATTTCATTTATATGAATACTAGGAAAATATGTTAATTTATTTATGTAATTTTGTATATAATTTGCTTTCTATTGACTGTAATTATTACTGTATTTTTTATTATTTCAGTTTAAATATTGAATTCAATATTGTAAATATTGAATTCCCTTTAAAGCTGGTATCACTGCCCAGACTCTCAGATGCTTCGCATTATAGAAAGCTGTTTTCAAGTGCTTGCAACACTCCTAAGATTTCCACTCTCTTGTCTTGCGATTCAGCTACCATTTTTCTGGCAGATGTTTCTGGCTGGATGACTTTTATTTAAAGTTTTGGCTGAGGTAGGTTGGTCAGTTTTGAGAATGAGACAAGGGGAGTACTCAGTCTCTGGCAGTGTTAAAATCGTCTGTTGACCTTTTTTCTAAAAGGCTCTGTCTGGAATCCTGTTTTAAGAGGAAAATACTTGAAATTTCTCAAGGGTGGATTCACATGTTGGATATTTATTTTGCTGTTCGTCTGAAAAAAAATGGGCCAATTGTACCAAACAAAGGCCAATTTTCAGATTTCTAAATACTTCAATGACTAAAGTACCCAAAGCGATGCATCTCTTTTGGTCAAACTGGTTGATCTTTATGGTGTAAGTGTGGACAGTCCAGTGGAAAGTAGAAGGACTTGCCTGTCATTGTTACTCTGAAGCAGACACTGTAACAATTGGATTGGCTTCTGTTCCAGTATTTGTTTTTTAAATCAACAGGTGACGTTCACATGATAGAAGCAGATGTTCTTCTTCGTGGTGGCAAGGGAGGAAATGGAGAGCCTATCATGGCTCATCCACCTGAAACAGACAGTGACAACACATTGCAGGAATGGCTAAAAGAGATTGTCAGCACAAATAAAGGCATCAAGCTGGATTTTAAGAGGTATCTCACGACAAATTTATATTGTTTGCGTTCTTACTAATTAACAATTATGCAGGTGGTGCTAGCTATCTTTTGGTGACATTAGATCAAACTTTTTCTTACTGTGCAATTTAGTGTATTCCTTCCTGAACAGAAAATGAGGAAATATAAGCATTATTACTAAATGCATTACAAGAATAAAAGCTTTAAAAGTGTTTTGAACTGAAAATAATTACTTCATATTCAGTGAATTAGTTACTGAGTTGCTGTTGAAGCAATAGTGTCTGCCTGGAAAGCTCCTATCAGTTTTCTGCTTGTGCAAAGGAATTGGGAAAGAAAACCTTCCATTGAGGAAATCGGACAGTGGCTCCGAGGCTGCAAAAGGGGCTGAGCCCTTCGGTTTCTCTGCCTGGCAGCACACAGGTCTCTCCTGCTGTCACCTAGCTTTCTTGGTGTCATTCTCTACCATGGAAGGGGAATGAAACTGTCAGGATTTTTCAAGGATCTGCTGAAAAGCCAACTCCCAGGTCTGCTGAAGTTCATAATAATTTAGAAACATCATCCCATACCAGCATGATACCTCTGTTTTCCCAGAGCTTTTCATTTTTCCCCCCAAAGAAGAGGAATCCTGTTTCCTGATCAACTCCAGTACTAGCAATCTATGGGGGATGTCTCAAGTCAAGAATTAGATATACTCCTTTGAATATCTAATTTCATACAACATATGAGGTGGTGGTAGGTCTCTTAATGATTTGTAATACAAGAAAGTTGTCCTGCTTTTTATGTGGTGAGGTGCATGTATAGTGAAGTAAATTCAATTTGGTCTAACTTACTAAATTTCAGAGGTTCATTTAGAATTTTAGCCATTAGCTCTTTCATTGTCTTTAATGAAAAATGTACCTGAAAACCGCATGAGATTGCCTTGAGAAGTTTGAAATGGGGTTCAAAAATGAGCTGTGATTTTTCAGACATACCTCTGCAACTCCCAACTTCAGCTTTGTCTGAATTTGCATGTACAATGTCTTATTTTTGCAGCAGATGGAAAATCCACCCACACTTCAAAAAGAGCTTCATTAATGTCTAAGTATGCTATAGAAATGAAAAAAAAAAAACCAACTAGATAGTTCTAAAATGTGGTTCGTACCTGTTGTTCTGTGTAATGTGATCACAGTTTTCATGTGAAAGTTCATGAAAATACAAAAGATGTGAGCAGGCGAAATGCTTTTATTGTTACAGAATCTGTAAATGTCTGCCTGGACAGAGAAGGGAAAGGACAAGAGAAGTAGGTGTTTGTTTGGGTTTATTTGTTGGGTTTTGTTTTTTGTTTTTTCATTTTAATTACTGGTTAAATTAATTTTAAAACATCTACCTCTTATTTTTCCACAGGGAATTTTCAGCCAATTGCAGTGATTTAGAAAAGCTTTTAAAATTATGTTGTATTATAAAAGTCTAATTGTATAAAAGCATTTAAAAAATACAGGCACACAGTGCAGATACAGTCAAATGAGTGATAACAGAATTTGATGTTCTTTTGGATAATGTTTCTTTGGATACCATTGCTGAAGTTTTGAAGATTATTTCAACAGCATTTAAAATAAATATTTTGTATATTTCTGTCAGTTTGACCACATAAGCACATTTCCTGCTGGCTTTATCTACAGGAATGAATATATTCTGCAAAAGGACTTGAGAGTCCCACTTCAAAAATGCCAGTCATTCCAAAAGGGAGCCAGCAATACATCTGAATTTTCCAAATGCTGTGCAATAAAAACAGTGCTGTCTGGGTTTTTTTTTTATTTATTTGAAGAGATTCTGCTTTGGGCTTTCTCCTTTTTACATTATCTTGTACTGTGTAGTAAGAAGGAAGTCATTCCACTGGCTTTGACATCCTCTGTATATGGAAAATGTGGCTTGCTCCAGCCTCAGACAATGGGAGAAATACTTGAGCCAATAATGTTAACACAAGCCATTACTAGCTTTTCTCTAAGACTTTAGCTAATAACGACTGAAAGCATTGAGTGGAATTCCTGCCACTCTCTCAGCAGTGCAAAAGTTAAAATGTACCAAATGTCTTTTCACAGGAAACAACACAGGCAGTTGAGGGGACAATTTTTAGCTTAGAGCTAGCCTCCTGTAACAGCTGGCTGCAATTCCCATTTTTGGCTGCAGGTCTTGACATGATTCATCTGACCTCGTCATGACCCAGGTTAAGGAATAAGTTGGTACAGAACCATCCTTGCAAAACAATGAGAATAGTTGTTTACCACTTTATGTCCCTGAACTCACTGCTGCTAAGGCAAGCATCAGCCCTAGTGTAAGAGGCTGGAGATACAGTGGCCTTGCAAGTGGGAAGACATGGTAGCAGATAGCCATCATCTCTGTTATTCAAACAGGCACCCCGAGCATGTAGCCTGTGGCTTATATCCAAGTACGCTGGAGCAACCTTCCTTTTCCTGGTGCTCCTATGGCACCCAGAGGGACCAGTTTAGGATGTTGAACTGGAAAGCTAACCCTGCAGAACAACATTGTGGCATGTTGCTTCTTTCCCACACAACATGAAGAATTTTCTCTTAGCTCGATTCTGTATCAGGTCATGGCAAGATTTTGAGGAAAACCTAGAAGGTGGCTTATTCAGAGCTTATTTACTACTCACAGGAGAAAATACAGGTTCTTACTATGAGTAAGGAAACAAGAAATCTGACCACAATGATTTTAAATTCCTGAATGTTACATAGAATGTTAATTAATTTGCTGTGAGAGAAAAATTACCTATTTCCTTGGCATTTATTCCTTTTCCCCATTTTTCCATGTTTCCTTCCACAATACTGCTAATTTGAAAGTTTTGGTAGGATAGAGAAAGGTTATTGTTTGCTGTCTAGTTAACGCTTTTTCTGTTGATTTGAGAGAACAGTGAGAATATGTGACTTAAAATATTTTGTTAAATGCTTAGAAGTGTTGCTACACTGGTTGCTCAACTGACTACATCTCATACTTAATAACTAGCGATAGGATGAACATCTGATGGGCAGAATTCATGCTACCACTACTATGCCACGCTTTCGAGCTGTGGGAACAACCACTGCGGAGGTGTTAGAGCCTGCAGTGGCTCTAACATCTAAGAGTTCACAAACATCCAAGTCTTAACAGGTGAGGAGTTGGAAGAGCCATGAGATAGGAGCCATGAAGAAGATCATATTGGGCAGTAGGGAGGCCGGAGGCTTACGCTGCTTTACAGCAGCAGTAATAGTCATCTTATGGCAGAAAATGCCCTCAGCATTTGCTCACTGGCTCACAGAGAGTTTCATTAACGTACCCATATAGATATGTACTACACATTTCCCATCTTCAGTCAGAGGTGTCTCGTCTCCCCCACGTGTACAGCCTAGAAGCCGTACGGCCTTCCCTGCAGCTTCTTGAGCATGTGAAGCAGCAATTGAGGCGACCTGTGTGGATCAATGCGGACATCCTACAGGGACCTAATGGAAGGAATTCTGTAGTGGATGCAAAAGGGTTCCTCGACGCTGTCATTTCATCTTTCCCAAACGTAACCTTATCACTGGGATGGACAACTGGCTGGCACCCTGACAAACACAATGAAGGTAAAGATGGAAAATTTAACGCTTACACTGCATAGTCTGTTTTACCTGGTCGGTTTGAAAGTAATAGTGAATGTAAGAAGAATTATTTCGTTTATTGGTGTAGATTCCAGTGTTTTATAACAATTAGTTCAGTGTTTGGGCTGCAGCAGAACTGTATAAAAAACCTGGTATTTTTGTTGTTAAACAATATTTTGTTCTTTATTTACACATATTGAGGAATTTCTGGGGACAGATTGCTTACACCCTGTTCCCGATAGTCTGCTCCCTGAATCCTAGGAGGATTGGTTGGGTAAATGGAATTCTGGCATGTTTCCTTGTAGAAAAATAGATTAGCTGGAAATTAAAAACCCTATCATTGTGCTTTTGCAGTAGGTAACTAAAATCAAATTGTAGGCCAACATTGTTTTTAACATATTTCTGTTGAATAATTGAATTTTTGCAGTAAATTTTCCAATTTATTGATGTTAGTAGCTTTTTTAAATCTCAGGTTTAAGAGTCTAATTGAAGTTTCTTATGGTTAATCCCTAACTTGAATTTAGATGCTGAACATGTAACCTTTATCCTAGGGTGCTTTTCACAGGCTTCCTCCCATAATTCTCATAGTTGCTTTCTTAGGGTGTTTTACTCCCATGCACATACATTTGTGTGCAGTAGTGTAGTCCCTACCAATACTCTCAGTGACTACAAGGGCAAAATTACACACCTTTCCAAATAGCTCATTGTTCATCAGCAAGATTTAATACTGTGTTATGAGGATTTTGCTGTATGTTACACAGTAATTTTATTAAACTATATAGGACTTTGTCCAAAGTATTTTCAGTGCAGTAAGAAGTTGCTGGAAAGAATGTACTGGATGTACTGTACTGAGTAATCTTTTTTAATAAATGTAACTTTTATTTCCATTCTAAATTTCAGTTTATGGTGATGATAATTAAACGTGTGTAAGACATGAGAAAAGCAGCTTATTTGACTGATTTCAACTACAATTTGCTGTTTGCCCAATAAAATCTGTTTTTTTTAGGATTTGGTGCTTTTAAATCTTTTCAGTCACCACATTGCATATGAGTACTTGAGAAAAAAATTAACTGTTACTGAAGTTAAGATTTTCATAGCCTGTAGAAATAATAAAACATTAAATACCATTTGAACTAGCTTCAGTGCTTGTAAAAATCTCAACAGCAGGCACGTGAAGCATTTTAGATTGCTTGAATTTATTTTTTAATTACAAAACATTTTACATACTTCATTTCTTTATAATTTGAAGTCTTCTCCTGCATTCATTCAGGTTTTTTCTAAATTTTTCAAAATGTTTCTGGTTTTTAAGGGTCACTGTCAAGTTAAAACTAGTCCATGTTGAAGTCAATGGCAATACTAGTTTTTAGAGAGAGAGCAAAGATACAATTTCCCGGACATTAGAAAATACCACATTCTATAGCTTTATGTAAAATAATACTGCAATTAATAGAAATAAATATTTTCAACGTAAGTTTATTTTTCTATGTATAGGTATTGCTTTTCTGGGACAATGATGTTTTTTGTTTATAATGATTTCATTTTAGAGTTATTTTCACATGTTTGCTCTTGTATTACCTTGCAACGTGGCCATTCTAGAATTTATTGTGTCTTTATAGAGGTTGTATTTGTGAATAATTCTTTTTAATCAAATGGTCTTTATTGTAGGATATGATTGGATGATGGTGAAAGAAATGGCTCAGATATGCAGTGCACTTCCCCAGCGTGTAACTTTCCCTGTAAGAGCAGCATTAGTTCGACAGTCAATATCTGAGCTCTGCTGGTTAATGCAGCAGTCGGATAGGTAAGTTTGAGGGCCTGTATTTTTAGCTGTCTTTATTACAAAGACACATACCTGTTTATATTTTATATTAAGTATAGCAGAGTTATGTATACATACTTATTCCTTACATTGAAAATATTTTTTCTTCTAATTGTGTTGTCATACAGAAGTGTTCACTATTCATTTCTTTAAAATAATAAAATTCCAAAAGTCTCTTTTAAAATTACTTAATATATGTAGTGAATCTTGTGTAGGTTTTTAATTCAGTTGCATTATAAACATTTCAGAAGAAGAATGTAGTTAAATAAACCAAGTAGTTGGTTGTTGCAATTTGGAATTAATTAAGTATTTACATTTTATAGATACTTTTTTATTGGATTCAGTATTTATATTTTTTGTAATAATGTGACATAAAAACATTAAAGGTGATTTTTAGATTGAAAGCTAATGTATGTTCTACAAAGCTGATTTTGCTTAAGTACTTGAAATACATCCAGTGGTTTCCAAACACTGACTTAATATTTCCTTCTAAGTATAGTTCTTAGAAACCCATAACAATCTCATAGAAAAAAATTATTTACATATAATAGAGTGAGACTGAAACTTACTTTGTACATACTGTCTTTTACTCATCTTTTTCACCTACTCTGCCTACTTACACTTCAATAAAGTTGTTCCTTAAGCACCAACCAAGGTCAAAACCCAAGACAGAAAAATTAAGACAGTGACTTGTGTGGAAAATTTCTAAGTAATTAGATACAACAGGGTGGGAAAAAAAAGGGTTTTTTTTTCTCATTTATAGTGATGAATTGAGAGAGAAATTAGAATTAAATATTTGAAACTGGGAACGTAATTTCAAAACATTCTTATGTTAAGATACTGTGAATTGTGCCATTCTCAAAAAAGTCCTTATTGGATGCAAGCGTTATTCCCACTTAAATACTGGCATTTTCTCCTTTACCTTAGCATAAAAATCCTGGTTTTCCTTAGTGGCTTGTTTAGAAGACAGAAATTACTGAGCCAATTTTGCTGACATACAACTAAATTCGATTTACCTGTATTCTAGATAGTTTCAATAAACAGAAGGTAAAAACTAGGTATTTGTCATGTGGAGATTGTGGAGGGTAATGCTTTTAACTTTAAATACTTCACAGTTCTTCAGGGTTTTTTAAGAGTTATAATGAAGTCTGTGCAATTAATGAGAAAAATGTGATAAAGTACAGAAGATACATTCAGTTAATCAGATGGCATTGCTGCACATCACGTATGTGACAAAACGGAGAATATGAAAATTACCTATAACTGAGATTGCCTCATTATTTTCTGTTGTAATACTCTGCTTGTAACTGTTTATTACTTTGTCAGACTTTAAATGCTCAGCTTGGTAAATGTCTTTGCTGGATGTCTACCTAAGATTTTTTTCTTTTATTCCTTGCTAGCTTTGGCAGAACAGTTCATAGAAGGGCCAGGCTACAGATAAATTGTTCTAGGTGGTGTAGGATTGTCCATGTTAAAAATTTTGCAGTCCTCCTTGGGAAGTGCTAGCAAGTTTAGCTCTAGGAGCAAAAACTTGAAGTTTGACTGGAGCCAAATTGTGTGACTTACCTCTGTAATGAGGATAAAAAAGCATCAAGGGAATAGACCTCTGCAGATTTTCGTTTGTGTGTGTCAACTAGAGGTTTATTTAAAGACTATCAGTCATATTCTTCAGCTAGTCTGTCTGTACCAAGCATTATGTGTGCCCTGAGTGCAGCCTGGGATGTGTTTGATCATGTCTGTATCTGGGGGTAGCGTTCTGATCCAGCAAGTGCTTTTCCTCGTTACTTGAAGTCACTGTGGCAACAAGAAGATTGGAGAGACTCTCAGTGCTGTCGGTTGTAGCACAAATGCAGGGTAGAGAGTGGTGACTTCTTACATGGGTGTAAAGGCATGAGGAGGGCAGGGACATATAGAACTGTTAATTCTGAAAGTGCATAAATTGTGGTTGCTTAATTTCAAAATGTAAAGGAGATTAAGTTTTTTATATTTAACTACATTCCTAAAATTAAGATACCACAGTCCTAGATATTTTTAGGAGCTTATTAGTGCAGTGTCTTTCTGACTTACATGCTTTCTTAAGATAATAACATACTCTTTTTTTTCTCTCTCTTTTTTTTTTTTTTTTCCTCCTTTTTGTGGATATAGATACAGCCTCACTGTTTGGACAGGAAAGGAAGATGTGTATTCTGTAGAAGATTTGCTTTACATCCGAGAAAACTTCGATAAAAGTAGGGTGTATTACGACATCTTCGAGCCACAAAATTCTGAATTCAGAAAAGCCATAGGAGTAGAATAGTAGATACAAAGCAGGCAATCTCTAACCTTGTAATACTTAGTATCTTTAAACATGAAGATTTCTTGTTCAAGGAAGTGTATTTTCCTTCCCAAAAGAATTGTATAGAACACAGCTGTGGTTATTGGAGGAGTTTTTGCGTAACACTTTACTCAAAGGCTTCTCAAATAGACATTTAATACCAACTTTAATAGGTCAGAGTTGTTACTTACTCACCATATGTACATTCATTCACCCAGTGGCATGTAGTAAAGGCTACTCAAATATACTAGTTACCTAAATATACTAGTACTTCTTTCCTGCAAGTATGTAAAGAGGAGAATGACCCCAGCTGATAGTTGTGGACCACAGTAGTTTGCTCCTTACTGCTTTTGTGTAAGACAAAGTCTGTGGGACAGTCAATGTCTACCAAAGCCTGGTTTTGCCTTTTATAGGGGAGGATGAGAGTCAAGACTGTATTAAGTACAGAACTTGCAGTTCCCAAAGGGGTTATTTTGTAGCTTATCTTGATACATGACATTTTTAATGCCATTGCAACTGATAATGCTTTCACTCCTAGTCAACAGAAGATACTGTTTGCTGGATGTGGAGAGTGGGATCCATGATGCTAGACATTCCGGGGAGAAAGAATGGTTATTTGTACTGAATTAAAACAAATCAGTTTCTCTGCAGTGCAGTAATAGTACATGCCACACCATGGCTTGCTTCCGTGCTTTCTTGAGCCATCAGCAGCATAGTCCTTGGATTGTGAGAAGTCTGAGCTGGAGTTGTAGCTGTGCTGCAGGAGTTGCTGGGGCAAACAGAACCCCCAAAACGAAGAACAGTCCAGTTCTGTACATTAGAGCACAAAGATGGATTACAGTGAGGTATGCATCAGAGAGCATCAAAAGAGATAAAGTGTTTTGTAAGAAAGAAGTACTGGTGGTTCTTTCAGGAGTTTGAAACTAAATATAGCAGGAGGAATGTAAAATGTAAAATGTTCTGCAGCCTTTCTGAAACCAGTATGTACAAAGCAAACCTTCTGAAACTAGGAATGAAGTAACTGTACAGTGATTAGTGTTTACAGCAAAAATTGTACATTTGCATGATAGCACAGTTTTTTCCTACATTCTCCTGGTTTGAGCATCTTTTTAACACTCAGAATAAAAATTCACAGATTTTCAAAACTTGAACTTCTCTTTGAGCAAAACTAAAATCATTGCAACCATGCTTATCACCTGCAGGAAGAGTCCAACCTATTTAATTTTAAGCAGTTTTGCCTCTTTTGCTTCTGCATCTCTTAAAATTAATACAGATACTGAAATCTCTGCAGATTGAGATAACAAGGTGTGTGGTGTTGCCTTCTGCCTAACATTACAAAGGCTTTTTTCAAAACATCAAGAGGAGATTTTGGTTCCTAAATGAAAGCTGATCCTGTGAAGAGTCTTTATTACCCTGTTATCTTCTTGTCCTCCTTTTCCCATTCCTCTCACATGCTTTTCAAAGGTATTGTGTTAACTTTGATGTTTGACACAACACTGGACAGGCTATTAATAATGAAGAATTAATTACAGCAATTTTTGGTTCTTACGTAGCATTAGTACAACTGTGATAAAAAAGTTAGTTGTATTTATTAATCCCGAGTCTTGAAATACAGTGATTTCATGCAGTCATTACAATTCAGGATTCCTGGTTGTTACCTATGCTTGTTCACCAGGTTTAGCTAATAATTGTTTTATTTTCTTGAGGAGTAGAGCTTTCATCATTTTTGTCAACTACTAAGATACAATATACTTGGATAAATGAGGAAATATTTTCCAAAATAAGGGAGAAAACTATCTAGTTGTACTTGGAATAGTTACTTTAATTTACACAATCAGTCAGCATGAATGGCAGTAACCACCAAAAGGTCACGTTTTGCAGTGTGATTATTTTTAATTAATTGGGACAAATTAATTATTTTTAGTTCACTGTGACAACTTGATGTGATTTGAACAGATTTAACCTCTCCGTTCTTTATAGCATCTCTTAGAGCTTTGCATGCACACTTTGCTAACCATGGGAGGAAGAGAGATCAAGCGTTCCCTAACTGGTCATAACTATGGAAAAAAATTTAAATACTTAAAGGACCTTTTTCTAACCCAGATCATTTTCACTAAAACAGGTTCAGGAGCTATTGTGTGAACAGGTGTGCTAGCAGATCTGATCATGCATCTTTTTAATGGATAATGACCCTTTCACATAATTCCCCATCAGGGAGAACAGGATCTATGAATAACCAAAGGTCCAGTTAAACCAAAGTTACAGACTTGCTTTGACTCTATAGTACACACAATAAACTAATAGGAAGTAATACAGTTCAGAGATTTTCTGGGATATTCCATTGAACAAGAAGCACTTAGGAGACATCAGCCAGCTTTTCGAATCAAATGCAATGTAGCTGCATTAGCCAGAATGAGTCAGGCAGGTGTCTGAAAAACAGAATTTGCTTTTGTGGGACATAAAGAAAACAGCTTGAGGACACATTGCTGTAGCCACATTCATTTATTGAATGAAAGGTGCCATTAAAAACTGCTGAGTTTTTTGTATTATTCTTCTTGAACACTTGACTAGTTCTAGGCTTAGTCTAGATTTCTTTTCAAAATACTGCTGGTCCTTCAGAAGCAGCAATACTTTCTAGCCATACGTTTATTTCTAATAAAGACACGTGTATATCGTTGTCTTTTTGTTCCACAATTTATATAAACGTGTAGGACTGGAATGGACTCCTAGATCTTGTTTCACCTCCCTGTTGCAGGCAGTTACATTTATTGACTTAAGGGATTTTGTCTTTCAGTTGGTTACACCTTTTGTGTCCACACTGGCAAACTTTTGTGTTATCGAGAAACCTTTTTCCCACTTAGCAGTTCCCACCTGAAGAATTAGGATTTGTTAAAACTGGTTGAACTACACAGTAAAAAACATCAGCAATTGCCAGAATTATTTTCAAGGGTGCAGGCATTGTGGAAGAAATATCACTAAGTAATACATATGGATACAACTAAACAGGAATATTCAGATGGAAGAAGACATGATCAGGATTACCAGAAAAAATAATTAAGGTAACAAGACATGTAAAACTAGATTAAACAGAATGATAGAAATTAATTTGATGAAGCATTCTTGCAGTGACAGAAGGGTTTGAGTATATGGTGAATTTAGTTATTCTGTATGGGCTATCCTATATATCTGAATTTCTGTATGTATTTTTTACCCATCTCTTGTTAGTTTCCTATGAAGTTGTTTATGTTGTTTAGGTTGGTCTGGTCTGACTTGCACATAAATAAATTTGTTTGAATTTATTTGTCTGTTTTCATGCCAGTCTTCATACAAATGCTCTCCTTCTAAAATGAGATGTGTTAACTGTGGGGCTGGCAATAAGATAATAAAGGTAAGATGAAAGCCACTTATTTATTCTGTTGGAAACAGGGTTCTGTGGCAGCTCTATTTTACTTTAACTGTTGCTGTCTTTTTTTATTTTTACCTTCTGTCAGGGATCTATTTCTTGTACTTAAAACTTTTTTTAGGAGCTATAAATTCTGCCACCTCTTTGTGGAATCATTTTCTCTTATCAGTTGCTTCATGTCTGCTGATACCTTTCAGCCAGGTTTTTAGACTTGTCCTTGTTACATGAAAAATCTAGTTGACTTTAATGGAACTAGGTATTGTTCAGGATGTCCAGGTGAGTTAATTGATTAATAAAACATATCTAATTTCCCGCAAGTTTAGCTCAAGCTTTGTACCTGTCAGCGAATGTGATAGAACTTACTAAACAGATAAAATAACATGTTATAGAAGAGAATTGACATCATTAGTCCTGCACAACTACTCAATAATATCCTGCAGTAACATGTCAGTATACTGATTAAAGCAAAACAGAAGCTGATTTTCTGAGGTTTGTATTGTTTAAATGTGTTGTGGAATCGAGGAAAATGCCTTCAAAGACACATTTTTTCAAAAGCAGTTGTCCACATACTCATCTTCAGCATTCATTTGAAGAATTACTCAGGTTTGGCATACTCTGACTGAAAAAAAACCAGTCTCTTTCTTCAGTTAAAACTTTCAAATTAAAGCCTTTTACGTTTTATTTATCAGCCAGCTGGCTGTGATCAGGCTTTTTGCTATTGTTACTACAGACTTATTTCTGCACTGTCCATTAAACTCTATTTAATGTTTGAGTCCAAGCACTGTAAAGCTTTCACTTGTGATTTTTATTGTGCTTTGTTTGGATACTGAAGAATGTGATTCCAGCACCTGGTGCAATACTGTTTTGTGCAGCAGCTCAAGGAAACTGTATTTGAACCTGCCAAGTCCCCTTGTGCAGAATCAGGTTTACATAAACCTCCGGCAGCCCACCATCAGGAACTCATTATTGGTGATTAAAAAGTGAGAGCTAGGGACTTACAAGAAGTCTTTTAAATTCATTTAATAACTTGGTGATGAAATAGCCCTATCCTTTTCTTCAAGAAAAAAATAAACTGCAGTGTTGGATTGTTAAAAATGTTCAGGATGGGGTTTTTTTTAAGGGTTAGGGAGAGCCCATTAGAGTATTATTAATTGCATCCTGCATTATATCCCAGAGTCAGGGGAGTTTTACTGTAGGTTTCAATGTTCTAAAATTTATTTTAATTGATTTAAAATTTCAATTTTCAGAGAGTATTTGTTTTAATAAGGATAAAACTACTAATATAAGGAAAGATTAGGAAGTGTTTAGACAATTTTTTAAAGAAACATTTTTTCCATGAGCTTTATGTTAATTAGAAACCATTTTTACCACAAAACTATTTCTTAACATTTCAGTTGGACATCAGTCTTTTTGTAACTTTTTTTGTAACTGCTGTGTTTTGATGCTCACAGGTGTTTATTCAGGAGTATCTGTTTGCCTATGCCACATGATTTCCTGGTGCCTAGGCTTGCATTCTGTGTATTAGCTTGTTAGATTTACTATTTTACCAAGAGTTTTATCTATAAATCTTGTACCAACCTACATGCAAAAGTAAGGGCTGCTAGGTAACTTCCAAGCCAGGGTGTTGTGTTAGTCTTTAGTTCCTTGCCTCTTCTGGGGCTTTGCTGGATGAGATTTGGTGTACGACTCTGCAGCGGAGTAAGATGTTACTACCTTCTTCCAGCTACAATTACTTCTGTCTTTGCTGCAAATTACTGTAATTATTGAATCATTACCCTTTTAGTAGCACGGCTGAAGAAGATATTCCATACTGCAGTTACTCCAAATTGCACAGGGGCATTAAGGTCTGTGTTCCCTTTGAGAGGAGCAGTAACTTCTGGCCAATGGATGCAATAAGCAGCTGGCAATAACATCTGAGGCTGCCACAGCAGAGCTTATTCATTAAAACCCGTAATAAAGAAGCATTGTTTGTTTATTGTGCTTCTAGTAAAATCCAAAGTATTGTACTCTTATCATCTTCTGAGTTTTGAACTTCTAAATTTTGGGGGCAATTGTGTGTTGTTTTTTAATATACTTTGGCTTGGTTCCCTTGAATTTTTCAGTGATCCTTCTGTTACTATAACTGTTGTTTTCACTGCCTAATTGTGATTCCTGTCATTGCTGTAGCAGAAAAAAAAATTGCATATATAAATTTGTAATCTCAATGGGAATCTGTCCAAGCAGAATTAAAACATGTTTTGTCATTGTTGTGTTTTTAAAAACGTATGTACAGGTCAAGTTTATATTTGAAAATGGACTAGCTTTTGAGAGAGAAGCTGTAACTCATGCCATCTGTGGCAGCTCATGAAAGTGTTCAAAATTGCTAGCTAATGCCTTAAGGGAAAAAATACAGAAATTAATTACAGTTCATCGGCACACATCTGCATCTGGATTTCAGAAATTTGCGAATAAACTGGACTGTATACAATGCTAAAAAAGAGTCTTCACTAAGATCTTCGCATGTTTTTTAAATGGCTGAATATAAAATCACTTATTTTTCTTGCTTGGGACAAAACCTCTGAATCAACATTAGATCTACAATATCGTGCTAGTACAGGAGACACCATCTTTATGATTAAATTTAAAACAGTGGGTTTGACTTCACCGTGATAACTGAGCTCTCTGGTGCTTCCGTGAGTGTTGAGGTGTTGATACCTTGGCTTCCTGAATCTCATTCCGGATGAGCAGTGTGGCTGAGGTAAGTCCTGCATTGAGTTGGAGGTTGGATGAGACCTCCAGAGGTTCCTTTCAGCCTGGATTTTTTTATGATTTAATGACACGTCTCACCTGCTACATAGTGCATACTGCTGTAAAGGATTAGTATAGGTGCAGAAGGAGTTCTAAGTATTTCTGTATTTCCTATAGTTTTGTTATTACAAACTTACTTTCATCTTGGTTGAGCTTTAACAGATATCTTCGGCAAAGAACAGGAATTTTGTATATACTTTAAAATGAGATTTAATTTGTGTAAAGGAGTATAAGACCTATTGTCTTTTTTTAAAAAGGATTAATAGCTGGTATTTTATTAGAGCAAATAGTCATCAAAATTGGAGTTTCCCTTTCAATCTGGAAAAAAAACAGAAAAAAAAAATCCCTTTCACTCTGAAAGACCCACTAAGTTTTCTTAAGATGTATCCTTATCACACGATCTCCTTGAAGGTATTACCATGCCAGTAATACTTTCAGGTGAAAATGTGTGGCTGGGGAATATCTTAAAACAGGCATTCCTCCCTCTAATTCTGGATTTCAACATTAATTTAATTTTAAAAAAAAAACAAAACCAAAAACATGTCCCTTTTATGAATACAGTGTGAATGTTTTTAGTAAGATGGTTGTTTGTGACGAATGTTAGCCTTTCTGTAACAAGCCAAGCTCGTTACATGAACAAAATAGCCAGCTAACAGAATAATGGTTTACTAATGTAAGAATCCATTTATTTATAAATACCTTATTTTAGTTGGAAAATTAATTAGTTGTACTGCATAACAGATGCAGAAAGATGAAGGTCTTATTAAGGATTGATAAGGAAAAAAAGGAATTTAATGACTGTTTTAGTTCACTATTTTTCTTGTGTAGCTGTACCAAATAATGTCAGTATTCTTTTAGAAATGCTGTGTAATTGTAAAAGACAAAAACCAAAACAAGGCAACTCCCAGATGCCTTTCTCCTTAAAGCAAAAACAAAGTGCAAGAAAGGACATTTTGAAAACTGTACTTTGAACACCATGTCTTAAACACAACCTTGAAAACTGCTTTTTTACAGCACTCTTGTGTAGTGACTTGCTCTTCTTAAATTCCTTAAACCAAAATATTAAGTTTTTTAGCTGATCACTGTTTTTTATGAGGCCACCACCGACTGTCTAGAAGTTACTTTCATTGTATGGTTTTACAGCATTTTGCAGAGAAAATGAAAACCAAAAGTATAAAAATTCATTTTCACCTTTCTAAAGTTACCACCTAGATTCAAAATCAATAACCTTATAGGTAGTGTGTTTTACTGTAAGCTGTAACTTGTGTTGACAGGAATGCTTGCTCACAAAAACGTCACTTCCATTTTATGTAGTTTAAATGTTTAAGGATTTTATGCCATCAACCTTTCTGTAAATTATAGTGGATGCGCTTTACTGATTTTTCACTGTAAATTATGGTGGATGCGCTTTACTGATTTTTCACTGTGTGAAAACTAGTCCAGATGTTTTTTTCTGGATGGGGAGGCCACAGATCTTAAGAGAAAACTAGCAAGGAAGAAGTTTCAGCTTGTGATGTTTACTATATCAAGATGCATAAAGAACACCTGAAAGGTATTTTGCTGTTCGTAAACTTAACTGTGTTGGGGTGTGGGGATTTAGCATTAGCAACTGCTAATTCTTTGCTTAGAAGACATTATGGATGGCTGGAAAATTATGAGGATTAAGACTTCAAAGATGGCAGGAGTGTATCATCACTGAAGTGGAAGTTCAGTAAGCTACCAACAGATGCAAAGAGCCTCTCTCACACAATACTTTGTACAAATCTAGCTATGTTGGATTAAATTAACTGTTCCAATTTTCCTGTATAGAGATGGCCTGAGAAACACGAGCGAGTACCTTTGGTAGTGACTCAGCGTCTCCTAAGTGGTGAATAAAAGGACGTGTCTATTTCCGTATTCCCTGCATGGGGGAAAAGATAACTTTTATTTATGCATCATAACAACATTAAGAGAACAACACTGAACATTTTTTTTCTTTGAAGGTCACTTGTAACATCAATGCAACAATAAACATTAACCTTTTAAATAAGACTTCTGCATCAAAAATTAAGCACGAAATACTGGCAACACTACAGAATAACTTCACTTCTCAAGATACCTGCCATTTTTATGACCATTTTGTAAAAAAAAATTACAGTTTTGGTTGAGGGTCCAGTAATCTCACCTATAAATTAATTTTAAAATCCGTACAGCAGAAATCAGACTTCATACCTTCAGCAAAGAACGCCAGTTAGAACTTACGATGTTATTTTTTTGTAAAAAAGAATTTCTGCCTTTTTAAAGATGTATTTTTAGCTGCAAATATTTCATTATGAGATGAACAGACTATAAATTGCCATTTTCATTTATTATAAAAACATCTGAAGAGTATAGTGTCTGTATGTGGTGTTTGTAGGGACCAATTTGTACCCAGTTAATAATACTGACATAGATTGTTCCACGTAATTTCTGTGCCATAAAAAGATTTCCATGTAATCCTTGTTTCTATCTGATATATGCAGATGCTGATGATCCAGCAACATCTTCTGAAGTAAGAGGTAGAACCTGAATGGAACATATGTGGCTCCATCACCTTCACCATGTTTCCACCAGTATTTAATAGCTCTTAAGCATATGTAATTCCACTTCTGGAATCTTCTCATTTTGGTGGTAGGGTTTTTTTAACATAGTGAACACTTCATTTTTGCATGTGTGCAGAGACTAGAGCCAATCCATAAATGATCAAGAGTCTTTCAGTGGATGAATAGTCTAATTAAAACAAAAAAACCCGTATTTTTGTGATGGGGACTGATTGCTTTTGAGGAGTGAGGAACTAAAGTGTGACAGTCACATCTGAGTAAGTCGTATGCAATAGCATAGTGCAGGTCCCTGTGGGCCTTCCCCACTGCTACCAGAATGCTACGTGTCCCACATTAGTGGAGCTGTGACAGGATGCCACGGCTTCTGAGGCCCAGACTTTGTGGGGAAGCACTAATTTTGACAATTGTGATGCAGGTTTGTATCTCTGCTTGTTGTAGCTACTTCTGAGAGCTTGGCCAGAGAATCAATGGGAAGATTATCTGCCTTCTAATGATCTGCTGTCATTAGAGAGTGCAGAGATTTTATGGCAAATTTGATTTCAAGATTTAAATGCACAGTTTTCAGATCAGCATTTGACATATATAACTGTTGTGTAGAGATATGAACCATACTATTTTAATTTCCAGATGCCAAATGTTCCCTTCTTCAAAACAGACATATTACAAACTTTTGGACATTTTTATATTTTTACAGAGACTATGTTTATCATCCACTTGAAATTGTCTTACACTAAGGGCAATGCTAAGTAGCATTACAGTAATTTGTTAGGCAATGTCAGGTTGAGTGCATTTTGACTGAAGCTGCAAGAAGACAGATAGTAGCCACTGTGTTTTAAAAAAAAAAAAAGTACCTAATTTCAGTATGCATAAATTCACATTATACAGACACAATTTCAATACAATTAATTTCTGTAAGTTATGACAACACATTCAGTATTACTCAATCTTTAGAAGATGAGTTGTAAAATGCTAAATGCAATACCAGAAATAAAGCATCTATGGAATATGCACAAAGACAGGGCAGATGTTAGAATTGCAGAACGCTAAATGGGAAGGAAAAACGGATTTTAGATGGAGATACTTGAAAATGTGAAAGAGCTTGGATGCAAAGGAGTGTTTCTCATCCATAAGAAATTCAGTCCTCTGCTTCAAATTGGGAAAAATGAGGAATTCCATCTCCCAGGTGAGTATCATAGCTGGATTTTTTTCAGGTGTGTCTGAGCAGGAGGACAGAGCTCCTCCTTGCTCCTAGGTGTGTGTGAAGTGTCCTTGCTCATCAAGACATCTGCTGTGTCCCACCATCTGTATCCGGTCTTGTGAAAAGAAACCCAGGCCTGTGACTGGGGAAGGAGAGCTCCTGCTTGATGCAAAGATCTCTGAGAGGGGTCTGGAACTACAGAAAGTAACACCTTCCCCAACTCTTCCTAACAGATTCAGCAATACAATAGCTTGAGAAGCCCAGGTTGACTGACACGCCTAACTGACAGAACGAGCAGGGTTTGGCCATTTTACATGAAATTATTCAAGGCTTCTTGCTCACTGTGCTGGCTTCCTGACTTAGCTCCCAGGCATCATCATGTGCTGAAGTTGAGCTCTCTAGGGCTCTCTGTATCACAGTGACTTCGAGCAGCCAGCAAGGCATCTGACACAGGCTCCCAGTCTTCAGCTGGAATTCCCTGGGTGTAGCTATGCATGCAACGCAGCTCTGCAACACAAATTTTATTGACGCTGTGTATTGTCTGTCTACACACATTAAAGCCACTGCCTATGTACACTTGCCACTGCCCAGCCCTTGTACACGCTGGTTGTGTTGGATTTTTGGATATTGCACTAATGCAACAGGGAGTCTGATGTCCAGCATCACAGTCAAATGTTTCAAGATCCCCAGTGCCACATGTACTGCCTTTCTGGGTACAGAAAGTGTATGTGTTTGGGAGGGATACATTTCCAACCTAAAATGAGAACTGCAGTGCCTAAAATCTGTTGTGGGCTCAGCCTGTCACCAGTAAGATTTCAGTGCTTAAATTGAAAACATTTTGAAAACAGTGTAATAAATATTCCTCAGTTTGCAGAAATCATCATCAGTACTTGAGTGTATCTTTAGATGTAGTCTCTAAACTGTTTAACCCATTCCAAGGCAGAGAGCTTTACATCACAGACCTGCTATCTTTTGGGGTATGTATCATTACAATCAGGTAGCACAGTGAATATGTACACATCATAAATATTCTGTAATGCTCTAATTCCCTGTTAAAAATTCACTAATTGCTTAATCTGCTCCATCTGTAATGACTGCCTCCTTTGTAGCATTTTTGTATTTTTGGTCTCCTTAGGGACAGCGGGTGCTGCTGGTACTAAGTGTTTCTGTCCACAAGAAACCATCCCAGAAACCCTGTTTATGAAAGTAATATCTGGAATTGGGGGGTGAGGATTCACATTCAGTGGTGGAAGAAAACCTGGTCTTATCTGAGCAGTATGATCCAACAATAAGGCTCCTGAACCCTGTCTTTCTAGAAAAGCTTGGTTTCTCCTGCTCAAAGTAACAGGAGGCATGTTCTCTAGTACTTCTCTAGAACTTGGTAACAAAGCATGAGATGGAGAAAGAATCTTTTTCTTTCCTATCACTGACTTACTGTCTTCTGCAGCAGCAGGACTTGGAGTAGTAGTTAACTGAGAATCAGAGCTGTAGTGATGAGCTCCCAAATTTCTTTTCTGGATAATACTACTAAGGTTTGAAACAAAGCTGTTTTGTCCCAAACTGGCATCTTTACCCACTGGAATCCCACTAGAGTTCCGTTTCTCTTCAACATAAGGAATTTGAGATTTTATCTCGTCATGTGATAATTTCCCTGGTCCAGTTTGATCAAAGGTTTTAAATAAATGAGCAGTGTCTTTTATGTCAATACTTTGGTGCCTAGTGATGAATCTCTTTGAATAGGCAAGGCCATTGATTTCAAAACACACTTCTGGAGTAATACCCTGAAGTTCCTGTAAAGAAGCAATTTTATTCTGGTGAAAGAGTGAGGGAGAGCTCTTTATCCAAGGCTCAGACCGTAGCCGCTGCACATGTGCCAGCCTGGACCCTACTTTTGTTGAGCTGGATTTTCTTGTCAGTGGAACTGTCTGAGATGAGTTGTCCACGCTTCGGGGATGATCCAGCTCTTTAAAGCTGAAGAGTGCTTTTTTAGATTCTTTTGAACTTGAAAGTGGGAGTGGAGATGTAGTCAGTTCTATTTCTGATGGTGAAGTGCAAGCAGTTGGGGAATGGCATTCCTCCAGGTCTGCAGGAGGCATGTTTAAGTACTGCTTTGTTTTCTGCCTTCCAGATGAGGACTTGTCCATAGTGATGATGATGACTTCTTTTCCCCGAGCCCTGCAGGCATTAAGAAGAACTTTCAGGGTCTCTTTGTCCTCAGCATTTATTGCATACACAAGTGCAGAGCAATCAGAGTGATCTTGCAGGCTTGGGTCAGCTCCACTTTTCAGTAGCAGAGATACCACTTCAGGGCCTGCTTTTTCCAAACAAGCATGCATCAGGGCTGTCTTTCCAGATTTGTCCTGTATGTTCGGATCAGCCTTGTTTTCCAGTAGGTATTTAACCATCCTTGCCTTGCTGACACTCTGGGCGTCCACATGTTTGGTCCTACAAGCAATCATTAAAGGGGTTTCACCTCTGTCATTGCTCTCGTTGACATAGGCACCACCCTCTAGTAACAGCCTGGTGAGGCGGAGGCGGCTTTGATAGACAGCTCTTATGAGGGAAGTCCCCTCTGATGGCAACTCCACCATTTCGGTCATTGCACTTGTCTCACTTGCACCTTTCTACTGGCTGGAAAGAACACCTGCTGTCTCAAAGATGTTGTCTTGGCACATAATAAAAGACAACAGGTGAATGCAGCAAACAAATAGGGGAGGAGAGGGCGAAGTGACAGCAAAACAATCCATCATGCTCAGTATAATAAGTAGCAGTCACAGGATACCAGCATCCTTGATGCTGTGAAGGGCTTTTTTAGGCATCACAGGAGAGAAGTTTCCAGGAGGAATGTGAAGGAGATTTGAGCCGTTCTACTTTTTAAAAGTGCATGACAGGATCAGTTAGATACCGGCATGACTAAGAGCTGGATGAATCGTATGAATAAGCCACTAAGACAAACAACATCCCAAGGGCAGGTTCTTCAGTTACTCTTTAACCTTGTCTTTCAAAAACTAAGTTGGGAGAATGTCCGCAGAGTTTTTTTGGTTTTTTTTTTCTGCGGCGTGATTCTAATTATCTTTGTTTTCTTTTACTCTCTGCACCTCACCCACATTGTTAATACTCGGTCTTTGCCAAACAGCCTCGGAAAGGCATGTATATTGAACACCCACTCTTCAGGAAGGTTACTGCTCTTCTCAGACCTGTTGGTGTCTGAATTATATAAGATATGGAGGCGGTGTACACTTCTGTATGGTTCATCAATTCTGCTGCTTGGAGCATCTTCATTTCTGCGGTTTCTGCAGCTCTCATGTACACTTTCTTATTCCGCCTTCCGTCCTTGCCTGCATTGTACTGTTGTACTTATGATAGTCAACATAAATCTTTAAAAAAAAAAAAAAAAA